TCAGTAGATCCATCTGTTCTGCTCCCCACTCTGTCTCTGGTGAATTTTCTCACCTTTCCCCACACTTCTGGCCTACACCTCAGATATTTTACACAAAAATAAATAAATAAAATCTTTAAAAAAATATGAAACCCCATTCCTGGAGGGAATTACCAGGTATGTCTAATAAATACAACCTGCTCATTTGTGTTCATGTCACATTAAAATACATTGACAATTTCCGATTTGCAAAGTTTCACGTAATTGCAGAAGCATAAAGACTTTACTTGAAAACAAAAGCAAATATTGAGAAAAAGAGCTGATAATTACCCCCAAGTCTGAATAATGTACCCTTGTGTACTAAAAAATGGCATAAAACACACACAGAGAAAATTCTTGTTTTTTTACTTTAATAAGATTTTCATTTTAAGAAAAATGTATTTCTTGACAACAGATTGCTCTCTTATTTGCACCCTATCTCTTCACATTGCTGTCATAATATTTATAGACTGCTATAATAGAATGAAATACCATCAGTAAGAATTTTACTTAATTAGAAACACATAGCTCTGTTAATTAGTAATTACACAAATCTGCCAAGAACAAAAATGAAAATCTCCCATGCAAACCCCTTCCCAAATTCATCTTGATGAAACATCTGTGAACATCTCCAAATACACCCAAAATTGAATGATCACAGGACAGAGGGATCTTTATTTATTTTGTTCCTCAACTCAACATCACAGCTTTAAAAGAAACATGCCACAAGCTTTAGTAAAATGGACTATTTCCAAAAAATGATTATGAAAACATGGATAAAATCTTTCTTTCCAAATAAGAACTCTTTTAAATTGTCCTTTTAAAATAAAAGTTTTATCTCATTGGTTTGCTTAAAAACTTTAACTATGGGATTGCAATAGCATGACATTATCACAGAATTTAGAATGAAATGGTTTATCATTCTATTTGAAGTTCACAAAAACTACCCTGCTCAACTCTCAATGAGATTCTATAAAATATTTACAACTTGCATACAAGAAAAAAAGTTGATTCTTTTGGTTTTGTATCTGCCATTTAGCACTTTTCTCATTTCTTGTTCTTCGACATAAAATACCTTAGCACATTATATAGCATAAGCAATTGATGAATTAAAACTAATATATTGATTACCGGCATGACAATATCTTTGACATGGCTCATCTTCTTAATTTTACTGGTAAATGCCAAAAGAAAATTATTGAGGAAAAAAAACCACAACCAGAGAATCTAAGCCTCTCAGTTGTCAAAGCAGAGTCATGGGGTCAGATCTGATTTTTCCGAATGTCCTTTCAAATAAAAGCAAGTGAAAAAAGGAAAGTGTTCTCTAATGGATTTGTGGGCATTGCCTCTATTTGGCAAGATACTATGGTGTTGATAGAAATCAATTGGAGATAAGTACAGATTATCCTTCTGCTACAGTTGCAGTTTTCAAATTGACCCATGAAAGGAAAATATCCCGCCAAGGCAGAGAAAAGAGAAAGGAAAAAAAAAAATCTTTATCACATTTAGGATATAATGGAGCCACTGTGGATGTCATCATTTTTCTGGGTCTTTCAAAATAATGCAAATGATGCAAAAATGTATAAAGGAAAAAAGCATGTGAGGGTCCGGGTGCCCGCAGCAAGAGGTGTGTCATGTACCTTATAAAAAAGTCCAGTTTAGCACTTAGCATGGTGCCAGAAATGATTGTTTATTTTTGGTTACCCTGTGATGAATTTACTACTCTAACACAACAGGAAAAGATAAAGACTCTCTGTCGTAGCTGTCATTAGCACCTCCAAGTGTTGTGCAGGACTATTGAGGGCCTTTCCGATTTGTTAAATTCTGGGAATTAGCATATACCGGAGTGTCATTGGTGGTGAGATAGGAAACCACAGAGAATAAGCTGGGACATGCTGGACATCTCCAACTCAGCTACAGGATCTGGAGAAGCAAGGAGACAGGATCCTACCCTGCCAGAGGCAGGTAAAGCAGAGGAGGCTGGAGACTGGCACCCGGCAGGGCTGCTGGGGACTCTGACTCCAGCAGCATCTGCAAGAGGACAGGCTCCCGCTTCACAGGAGGCCAGAGATGTCAGAGGTTTCAGGGGTGGGAGAGGCTCACACTACATCAAAGGCAGGTCTTAGATATCTGGATGGCAAGTAGCAGAAGGGAGGCCACAGGCTGGAGAGGAAAAGAGGCCAGAAAAGGATGCATACTGGGGCCTTGCTGGTGGTGCAGGGGTTAAGTCTCAGCACTAGGAAGCTATCAGCAGCCACTGCGACATGAGTTCAATCCCCAGTCAGGGAGTTAACCTACATATGGCACAGCAGACCTGTCTCCCTGCTGCTCCCCTCAGCAGTATATTTCAGTAGATCTGCCTGTTCTGCTCCCCACTCTGTCTCTGGTGAATCCTCTCACCCCCCACACCTCTGGACTGCACCCAAGTTCTTGTATGTAAAATAAAATTTTAAAAAAGAAATGTCTGTTAAAAAAAAAAAAAGGATATACATTGACAGGGGCTCTTCCAAGAGCCAGTTATCACATAAGTATGAAAAGAACATAAAACCAGGTAAGATAATGGTAAAACAAACTTGAAAATGAATTGGGCATTTATTCCTCCACAAAGACCCTTTGCAATCTGTTGCTATGGCACACGTTCAGACTTTCCCTTCTTTCTAAGTATCCATTACATATAAAATTCCACTTTGAACATGCTCACAAAGACACTCAACTTCTACTTAAAAAATAAAAATGAAAAAAATCAATTTTACCAGTCAGATTGGGAAACACTGTTAGATTTAAGGGTGCTAGGAGCAGAAGGAAATGGGCATTCTCAGAAACTCTTGGTATACTGAAAGTACCAACATTCCAACTACAACCATCCACTTCCAGAAATTTACCCTAAAAAGAAAAATCACATGCATATAAAACTGTAGCATCTTACACTGTGGAAACAATTTGGGATCAAGGTTGAGAGAACCTGTTTTTGCATAAGTTGAATCAATTTTAATATTTTTCCTGTGATTTGATCTCTTTGCTGTTTTGTTTTGGCTAATGCCTCCAAGATGTTTTTTTTTTTTTTTCTTTTCTTTTTCTTTTGGCTTGGACTGATAAACCATTTCCCAGGAATGGAGGACTTTTACTTTCCACAGTGGACAACACCTGGAGAGACTGGTTTGCTTTCCAGTGTGAACGCTGAGAAAAATTTTCATCTGAGACTGTAGCCCAGCATCCACACATTTGAGCAACACCATGGAAATGGTGGCAAAAAGTGAAAGGGGGAATTGTTAGGGGGAAAGGAAGTAAAAAAATAAAAAATAAAAATAGCTGATAGCTATTTGCTTCTGCTGATAGCTTCCTAGTGCTGAGACTTAACCCCTGCACCGCTAGAGAGATCCCTTTTTTTCTGGCCTCTTTTCCTCTCCAGCCTGTGGCCTCCCTCCTGTACTTCTCATCCAGATACCTAAGACCTGCCTTTGATGTAGTGTAGCATCTTTTATATAATAGTAAACAATTGGAAACTACCTAAATGACCATCAAAAGGCCATTGGGTAATTTGAATTATAATTTATAAATAATTGATATTGATAATAAGAAAATATTCAGTCTTTTAAATGAGTATGAGGCTCTGTATCTATTGATGTCAGAGATATGTGGAGAGAAACAGGGAAGTACCCAGAAAGCCATTTATGTGAAATGCAGGTGTCTGTGTACAGGAAACAATAATGAATGTTAGTTATGATTACCTTGGGTCTCCCTGATTTAAGATAATTCTTACTTTCTTTCCATTTATAAGAGCTCTCACATTCACTATTAGCATGTCACTTTTTTTAGTATGAAAAAACAATAATTCTATTTTCATTTTGGAAAGAAATGACCTTGATCAGCAGAGGACAGCTCCACAGCATGAGGCCGGCTGGCACCAGCCAGGGTGTGGAAAGTGAGTCCTGGACGACATTCACTGCCTTTGCTGGGGGCAGATTCTGGATGTAGCCACCGGCCAGACTATTCCCTTTGCTAGTGACTTTTTAGAAAGAGACTGCAGGAGAGAGAGACCCGGTTTTTCCTGCTTCTGCCTGCTTTGTTCCAGTCTTCTATCCTTGCCAGATAGTGAATTTTTCAAGTCCTGGGAAGGTATCTTACTTTTTACCTGTCCCCAAAGCTTTGCACAGCCTCCCAGTGAGCAGTTAATTTGTACAGTGGGCTGACATGAATCCTCATGCTCTGATTGCTTCTCCACTGTGAAGAGGATTTGGGGGGAGCGTGCTGTCAGCAACAGCTGGCTGGAGAGTTAGGGTGCCTCACGCCCTGCAGCTCTGGGGTCCTCTAACTGGCTCCAGACAATTGGCCTATCATCTGAATTCATTTTTAAAAATACAGTATTTTTTGGCTTCTATATATTTTCATTAACATTTTTGAGATTACTCTTATGTAATGTAGCTATAATGGAATTTGTTTTATATTAATAGTGTGCGTGCTCAAAGTGACTACAGTATATGAATAGTCAGGGTGCCTGATACAGCCTAATGTTAATGTGCAAATAATTGTAGAACATCCTTTTAGTGTCCTGCCATCGTGGTTACTTTTATAAAGAGCACCTGCGGGAAGCCCCTCCTCAGATAAAATTCTTAGCTCAGGGAAACCACTCAATACTTCTTTCTGCTCCCAAAAGAAGCGAACAAACATACAAACAAGAATCCAGAAACACTCTCCCTTTACAGGACACACACACATTTGTTCAGAAGAAATAACTGTGAAATGTTTCATCAAGATTCATGGAATTGATGCACAGTAACTACTCTTGACTCTAAACGATCCAATCATTTCTTCCCTGGAGCAATGTTAGCAAAAGTCACACAGATGACAGTTAAATCAATAAGATTGCCAATATCACTGATGAGTTAGTGGCAGCAGGGACAGCAGCAGCCCTCCCTACTGTGCACTGAATGATGTATTGGTTCAAACTAAGTGAACAGGGACCTCTGTGAAGTCCCCCTTACCTTGGCCAGGTGAGAGTTGATCCATTTTGTGAAGGTACGTTTTTGTACAATCTCTTGCTCATCTAAAAGAAGAAGAAAAAATATATATATATACATGGTTAGATGATACAGCTGATCAAAAAATTGTATCATGAAAAGAAATTCATTTAACACCTCTAGAAGTAATCATAAAATGATTTCGTCTTCTAGTTCATTTTCCCAATTACTGTCCAGAAGGGAGAGTCTATGCAATTCCATGTGTATTACGCAATTCGACTATTCCTTTAGTTACGGCAGAATTCCCTTAGGGAACCAGGCAGCACTCAGAGACAAGGAGGGAAGATCTTTATTTATACTGGCAGGCCCAAAGCACATCTTTCTCCAAAGTCTGAGCCCCAAGCAATTAGGTAACAGAGCATTTATAGCCGAAGCAGAGGTACATTTACACTGTAGCAGAGCATCTATTGCATATACAGATAAGAAAAAAAAGCACGCAGAATTAAATATTTTTACCAACATTACCCAGTGTTAAGCTCCAGGAGTCTGATTTCTACACTACTTCACTAAGCCCAAGAATGGCATAGAAATTACTATATTAGTCATATCAAATATTGATCACAACAAAATAATAAATTCATACTTAAGTGAATTTGAGTTTGACCTTAAAATATTGAGGTTCTATAAGTCATGTAGTAGCCAACTGATCTTAATTAATCAAGTTACATTTGATGGCCTTCAGAACCTTCTCTAGAATACATAAAATCCAATTCTAACTATGAAATAAGCTATAGAGTTAGAGCATGTATGAAATTTTTTTAAAGATTTATTTATTCATACAAGAGCTAGGGTACAGGCCAGAGATGCGAGGGGTGAGAGAATTCAACAGAGACAGAGTGGGGAACAGAACAGGCAGACTGAAATACACTGCTGAGGGGAGCAGCGGGCGAGTCAGGAGAGGCCTGCTGCGCCATGTGGGTTGCTCCCTGGCTGGCTGGGGATCGAAGTCATGCTGCAGAGGCTGCGGATTGCTTCATAGTGTGGTGCTTAACCCCTTGAGCCACCAGGGAGGCCTGCATGTATAAAATTTTTAACTCATTTTGAGATAACATGCCACTTCATAAATATCAGGAGATGACAGTGTTTTAAAATCTTTAAATAAATTTGCATAATGTTTGTGTATAGAGTCAAAAATTTAGGTGGATAATATACTAAAATGTAGTATTTCATGATTTTACATTGTTATGGCTTTGCTATACCTTTAATGAAATAATACTGCTATTGTGACAGTTTTTTCTGATGGTAAATCTCTGAACTTATATTTAGACTTTGGATAAAAAGACTTTTTTTAGAAAGCTCAGAATTATATTTTTTTGTAGAATTCACTATAGATATCTAAATGTCAGGGTCTCTACATGTTTCTTTTTATGTTAACTGCAAAAGCATATTTTACTGAGTCATAACAATGCACTTTTTAAAATACCATCAGCTATAGCCAGCTGCATTCTTAGTAAATATTTTCTGATTTTACTTAGTATTTCCCAAAAGAAAACTATTTCTAAAGCTTCATTATGTGAGCAAATCCTCATTTTCATATAAAAAATTGAATAATTTAGTCCAGGATTTGGTAATTGAATCTGAGACCAACAGCAGAAAATGTTTAAATTATGGAAGTAATATGAAATATGCAATGAACACCTACCACATTGTATTAAAAACATGAACAAGAGACTACGATGCTGTCGATGAGGAACTGACCTAATATCCATAAAGTTTATAAAGTTCTCTTTGTGTTGTATTTAAAATATATTTAATAGTTAATCTTATAATAATTTTTCTAACTTCAGCTTTTCAGAATAAAATCGTGATGTGGTGCAAATATATTTAATAGTTAATTTTATTAATAATTTTTCTAACTTCAGCTTTTTAGAACCAAAATATGATGTGGTTTTACCAAGCGTTCATACCTATACATGTTTAACATGTCTACTAAAATTATAAAACACTGTCATTCATGTAGACATTCTGCTAAACATATATGTTTGGTCTAAACACAATGAAGTTTGTCTGTAACCCATAAGTAAACTCAGTTTCCCAGCTCAAAGAATCAAAGAGAACAAGAAGTTGACCCTGTCTTTAAGTTTTATTTCCTAATTTCTATTAAAGCAATCTAAGGTCACTTAGTTCTAGAGCTACCTGAGGTCACCCTTGGTTCTTATGCTTCCTCATCCCTCACACAAGTTTATAAGGAATTATTGCCAATCTTCCTGAATTTCTCATCTTCTACGATATCAGTCTAATTCAAAATGGCATTTCTTTGGGATCCTGTTCATTTTCACCACTAGAATCTCATTTCCAGATTAGAGAGCAGGGACTGTGTCTGATTTACCTATTTCTGTCTTACTCATCACAGCATGGTAGATGCTAAGTAAAGAAGTGAATGGAAGAACTTGGTAGGGAAGTGCTGGAGACTGAGAAGCAGCCCGAGCTCTAAGGAACTGGTGATACAAGGGAAGAGAAGGTATGTCAACAGCAGCTCAGTGCAATGTCAGCTACTGTTACAGAGAAATACATAAAGCGCTGAGTGAACATAAATGCAGCAGGGAGTGATTTTGGAAGGTCCAGAAGAGGAAAAAAAAGGAAGGTCTATTAAGTCTAGCATCAGCAGAGAAGTGAAAATTTGGAGGTAGAAAACTTGGTAGGAAAAAGAAGCTGTCTTTTAAACATCTGGCATGATATAGCAACATGACACTGAAAATCTTCTATGATTGGAGTATGAAGCAGAAAGGAGTTACAAAGGGACTGCAGATAGGCTGGAACATAGGCAAAAACCAGATTATCAAAACCTTTGACTAACACGTCAAGAAGTGAGTCTTAATCTTGTGGACCATGGGAAGCCTTCAGTGGTTGTGGACAGGACAACAGCATGATGAAATCAGACCTGAGACACAGAGATATCTCTTCTGATGGCAGTGTGGAAGTTTAAATGGAGCAGGGGGGATTTGGAAAGTGACTATCAGAACACACGGAAAGGTGGTGACTTCCATCCTAGGGCATTGCCAATGAGGATGAGATGCAGAAGATGGCTGGAAGGGAACATCACAAGTGCATTGAAAGGAAGTAGAGAGATAGAAGCTAAGGGTGCTTTCAAGATTTGTATCATGGGCAACTGGATGACAATGTCACAAACCAGACAAAGAGAGACAGGATTAGCAGACTCAACAGGGAGGATTATGAGATCAGGCCCGTTGCAAATGCACTGTGTGTGCCATCTGGATAAGACAGCAGGGACAGAAGATAGGAGAGGTGGGGCGTGAGAAGCCAGACTATCAGGTGGGTGCTCCATGCATGGCACCTGATTTAAGGCCACATTTCAGTCTAAGTGGAAATCACTGAGCAGAGGATGCTCAAACTCCCCTCTTTCCCTGTAGCTTGAATCTTGGTTCCTTTCTAAAGGCTATATTGTGCCAGTGGGTGGAAAACTCATAACAAAAATTCACTAGGTCCTTCACCTTTGGAGGGTCCGTCACTGGTAATGACTCAATAGCAGTTGGCCCTAAAAACTCAGGAGTTGGAGGCTGCTGAGCACCGAGGGCTGTCTGTATAGGAAGGCCACCATACACATATGCATGGCCCTGGATAATGCTGTCATTAAAGCTAGCCCCCAAATTCCAAAGCAATATCCTTCTGTAGGAATGAGGGGCAATGACAGGAGCTAGCTCTGATATTTCATATGTGTATTTCTTTGTGCTTTTTATTTATTTTCTCTGTATTTTGTCATTTTAAGACAAGATCATGACACACGCAGACATGAGGCCCCGCTTGGCAAGGGTGATTAAACCTGGCCACTAAGGAGCAGTCCCTCTGACAACAGTCAAGAGCTGAATTCCCGATGAGTCAGTCACAGGACTTGCTGATCTCACACAACTGTGCTTTGTCCAGGTGACTTCCCCAGGCACCAGGCAGCTCAGAGGCCACCATAAAGGTGACCTGGGTCATCTGGAGCTTTCACAGTCAAACATGAGAAATCCGCTGCCTAGACACATGCAAATGGCATTTGCATTTTACCGTTTAAAATGAATTTCCCACGGATAATATGTGAAACTGTAACAGAATCCTACGGTCACTAGCTTTGAAATAGCATTGCTAAATTAAAAAAATTAAAATACATGCCAGTATCCTTTTAACAGATGGTATTTTCAAAAATGTTAATAATTGAAATTAGCATATTTCAATATACTTAAACTCTTCCATAAGAATTTATTTCTGAGAGATTAACACTTCCTACATGGGTATGCACATAAGGATGTATATTTTTATCAGAATCAAGAAAAAACCATAGAGAAAAATACTGAATTTTACATATACATACTTATATATATATATATATTATATATACTGAATTTATATATACATACTTATATATTATATATTATACATTATATAACACATATATTCTTATATTATATATGATATAAGTATATATACAAAAGTTAGTATATGTATTATATGTATTTCCTTAATATGTAAAAACCAAGTAAATATGCATAGTTGTTAAGTTTTCAGTTGCTATTTCTGTCCAAAATATTAGGATCTCATGCAGTGATATATATGGAGACTGCAATTGGCATGATTAACTGTTTTGTTTTTTGTAGATTTTCATTATACCCTTTATGTCTTTTAATGACAATGATGGTTTAAAAAATAAGATGTATTTCAATTACCTGAACATATAAATGTTAAAAACAAATCACACATTACAAAAAAATTTTTCATCATTTTCAGTGTAGATGGATCCACCTCAATAAAAATTGGTAAAGAAATTCAACACTGAAATATGCAGACTGAATTTCTTACACAACCACATGAAACTACAAGGGAAAAAACAAAATAAACATCAGGGATAGTGTAATTATTATTCGTCAGATAAGAGCTACAATCAGATGAGTTAAATCAAATGATTTGTTTTGAGATTAGAAATATTGTCCCAATTGTCGATTTATGATGACTAAAAACACTACTTACTTGATTATACGTGGCTGGGGCTTAAGGTGGATTGAATATTTCAACATAATGAAATGTAAGT